GTTGGCACCAGAAGTACAGCAGGCTCCTGCTTCCTTTAAAAAAAAAACAGTCCTGCTGAACCACACATTTCAGGACCTGAGGAACCTGATTTGGTAATTGAAGGTGCACACGGCACACATTTTCCTATGAAATGGAAAAAAATAATTATACCACATGACATATTTCAGTCCTGGTATTCAAGAGTTCATTAACAAAAATACTTTAAAAGGTGCTAATAGAAACAAATGTGTTTAACATCACAGACTTCCCAGATGACTCCTGCTATTGGAGATGGATGACAAATCACTGTCAGTCATCTCTAAATTTCATATTGACTACATTGAAGCAATTAGCCATTTATTTTTAGAGCATGTTCCATTTTAAACACAAATGATTCAGTCCAAGAGAGTCTATATTCCATTGCTATTTAATGGGTTAACAACTCTCAAATTTAAGTGGATTTTAATTCTGGGAGAAATACTTGCCTTTTTGATTTTGCCTCCAGACATTGGTTGGAAATTTTAATTCAGGCTTGAAACCAAACAAATGTTGGTGTTCTACAAGCATCTGCAGAGAAATTTAAAAATATCTGGAAAGTGTGAAAGAGTGAGCTTGTTTTGCTAAATGCATAAAATGAAACCTCAGCGTAGGTCTCAATAACAGGCTTCCTGACTGCTGTGCACATGCTCTCTCCCACAGACCTTCTGCTCTGCATCAAGGGAACGCTGCCTGCACTGCTGCGTCCTCAGAGAACTTTGCAATACAATGAAGCACAGCGATTCCCTGGGGAACACGGCGCTGATCACCGACTCCGATACTCCAAACACAAGCACCAGGGTTTCCCCCGTTTTAAGATCTCAAAGAAATGGCTTGCCGTATCACTCCACCCCCAGCTCCCAAGCCATCTCACAGTTTATCTGCATTATAGACAATGTTCTGGACAAAAGGATGAGGAGCTGGGATCAAGCTAATGCTGTTTGAACTCATGGAAAAGGAGGGTGAGATGATAAGTGGAAAGGTGGGGGAAGGAGAGTCCTGAGGAGCTGGCAGTGGTTTCTGTTGCTGCCGCCACTGGAGGGAAAGGACAAATGGGAGCTGCAACAGGTACTGGCAGCAAGGGAACCCTGCTTCGGGTCAGCTGCTGCTCTGCTTCAACCCAGCTCCTCCCTGTTGCAAAAGCAAAAGCAGTCCACAGCCAGCCACTTGCCCCCAGCAGTTTGCTGCCCGGGACAACAGCCCATTTCACCTGTAGCTTGGACTAGTCCTTCTGGTCCATTTTCAACAAACATCCAAGATTGAGGACACCATCTTGCCAAGGGACAGTCCCAGCACCTCCTAAGGAGCCCTGCCTGAAGAACCTAAACTTCCTACTAGGGATAGCCTAGCCAGACATAGCTGATCAAACAAGGCCAAGACTGACTCACAAGCCCATTATACACCTGCTTAGCCACCATTCATTAACTGTAAGGAAAATTACCCCGGGCTCCCTGCATCAAAGAACCTTGCCATTTCTTCTTAATTAATTCTAAGCATCTTGCTGGCCTCAAATCTCAGCTGGAAAAAATCAACTAAAGTGGGTGTCCATCTTATCTTGCCCTTTGCTACTGGCTGCACTTTCATTTTTTCTGAATTGCACGGCCCCCATCCTTCTGAGATCACCAGAAGAAAACAAAGTATTGCTGTGTTTTAGGACAAATACGTTAGTGCATAAGATCTAGTCTGTTTTAAGCGTTATTAGAATTAATGGTCATGATATCTAAGGCCAATAGAAATACACTTCTAAGGAATTAAACCAAATGCCTGCAGTATTTGCCATTCAGCCGCTGCAGAATCACAACAGCACATGAAATGTTACAGGAGAAATGGGTAAAAAAAGCCTTAAACAGAAGCAAAACTGACTCATCTCCTTATTGCCAAAACCGAGAAAGCCGCTGAGTGTAAACAAACAACAGACATCCTGAAGAAAAGGGGGCGTCACAATTCCTTTTCCTGCTAATAGGCAGATACACAAACCCGTATGGGCAGGATCATCCTCCAGCTACTGCAAGCCAATCTGAGGGAAACGGCCAACGCTACAGCAACATTCCCGGCAGCACAGGTGCCACTGGAGGCAAGGGAGCATCTGAGGTGATGGTGACTCCCAGTGCAATCATGGCTCATAGCTGTATCTGCTGGAAAGCTGCAGGCATGATGTGCCCATGTAAGCCATATGTATATATCGATACCCAGCTGAACTGTTCGGGGCAGTTTTCACAAAGGCGTAACTTTGGCTTAGGCTGGCAAGCACCCCATCTACAGAACAGGAGGGAGAGTGAGCCAGAACACTTGTTTAAAGCTGAAGTTCTCCTCCCTGTCTCTAGAGGCCCACAAATACTATGATCTATACGTGCTGAAGCCAGGCTTTGTGGGCACCCCCTAACTTAGGAGGAAACTACATAGGGAAAGACATAAGACCATAGAGATATTTATAAAGATCAAAATTCATAATGAAGACAAGCTATGCTCTCTGGAAAAACCTATCATCACAAACTAAGATATTTTAGAATAATGCTTTTTTTATTACTAAAAGGCCTTCTGTTTGAACTTTGCAACTGGTGTGGAAATGAGGAGGCTGTTTTGCTGGGTATTTTTTATAAGCATCTTTCAGAGGTGAAATCACAGGGACAACCTTAATGTCTGTACCCACAAGGCAGATCCAACAGCTTTAAAACACAGGCAACCTATCCTCTGTTAGAACTGCTTCTGGCCCAACACCAACTGTTCAACACCATCAACTCTCACAATCTGAATCCTCCGTACAATACCACGGCCGCATCTTTTGCAGTATTCCAAAAGGCAGCTAATAAGCCACATTTCATTCTCACTATTTTTCCGAGTCACTGCATTGTTTGTAAGAAGACTATTCAAAAGGAGACAAGGAGAAGGATTTAGCACTACCTTGAATAAACGCTACTTAGCATACAACACAGCACGTGCAGAACTCCACGAAGCTTCACAGGGATGATCTCACAATGGCAAAGGATGCAAGATCACATGCCACATACACGAAACACAAAGCCACTGAAAAATACACTTAAGTAACAAGTCTTAGCCAGTTATTTATTGTAAAACAGTAAGGACCATAGTGTTTATTAGAATGCACTTAAAATATTGAGCATATGGATTTGAGATGAATTCTTTGGGATGTTCGGAGCACACGTACACAGTTTGCTTTCAAATAAATCACTGTCACATTCAGATATTGATAGTTTGTGATAAAGTCACTGAGTGGATCAGTTAATGCTCTGGCCTGCTCTGGTTTCAAATGAGTAAGCTGATTGATATTAAAAGTTTAGGAGTCCAAAGCTCAGGTCACATTAAGTCAGAAACACATCAGCAATAGTATCACACAAGTGACAAAACATGCCATCCACCCTTAAATCACATGCTGCTTGCTGCTCACAAATGCTGGCCATCTGACCAACCACTCTTTGTTGTGAGCTAACTCCCTGCTCCCCCTCCTGAAACAAACAAATAAACAGACCTCACATTTCCTCTGTAAGAACACATACCCTTTTCCCCTGTACTAGACTGAGACTGCATTGACAGGATGAGTGGAGTGAGTTGACTAAGCGTGTGCTGCCTTTTACATCTACTTCTGGCTCCAGTGTGAAAATCAACATTGCACCTGTGTTGTCTGAACAGGGTGTGCACTTCAGAGGCAGACAGAAGGGAAGCAGAGAGTGCAGCCAGGATACATACCGTACTCCAATTCTTCACAAAACACACGTACTACACAGAGAAATTATAATCCCTTCTTAGCGGAAAATCCAAATTTTCAAAATGAATCCCCAAGCCAAAATGAATTACTGTAATAACTGCAATCCTTGCATGAGCACTAATCAGAAAGGCACAGCTGACCACCTGCTATGTGTCACCACTGGCACAGCAGCACCCTGCCCCTAATAGCTGCTCAGACAGGGCTAGGTGCCCCATAGAACGCGACACTGGTGCTGGTAAACACAGAGACAGGAGCACAGCCTGACTGACTGTTGTACAGTCTCACTACGCACTTCTGCTGAGTGCAGCATATTAAAAATTTTTTTTAAAATAATTAAAAAAAGGCAGTACTGCAGCTCCAAACAGCAGGATGCAAAAATCTAAACCCAGGTTAAGTCATTTCTTCTGCAACTACAGAGAAATACACGGGAAACGATGTAAGAGAGAACAAAATGAATTGTACTGCCCATGTCAGTACAAACCCATTATCTGTGCAGGCTGCAAAATGAGAAACGCAGCATTTGACAATGCTACAAGCTAGGGCAATGCTCTTAACATACTTATAAGTTATTTTATTTAATTGCTAACAAAAATATGCAGTTATGTAATAACACAAGGTAATAACCAAAATATGAAGTCACAAGATTGGCTTACAGCAACAGAGCACGGGGGGGATGGGGGGGGAAAGCAGTTCGTGCTTTAAATTTTGCTGCATTGTCAGGGAGCCAAGAACCAAAACTGGGGGCTTCTGCTTTTACAAGGAATGGACGTAACCACCAAAAATTCGGCACTGGACTCTTCATCACCGCCTGCGTGCATCCACATCCCCAAATGATGTCAATCCCCGCCGGCACGTCGCTCGTCATAATTCTACACTATTTGATCGCCGGCGGAATTCAGCCGGCAGGCCGACGGCTCATCCCGTAACCCCCCGGGGCCCAAGGAGCTCCCCGGAGAGCGACCCCTCCACCGCGCCCGCGCCCAGGGCAGCGCTCAGCGGCACGGCCGGGCTCCCATCCCGCACGGACCGCCGAGGCACAAAGGCGGCACCGCGCAGCCGGGCACGGTGACAGCGCACACCCACGACCCGCCGCCGCATCCCGCCAGCCGGGCGGGGGCTGCCCGCCCCGGGAAGGGCCTTTCCCGAAGCCGAGGCCGCTACCAGCTCCATCCCGCCTCGCACTTCTCCGCTGGGAGCCGACGCCACCCGCCTCCGCCCCACCACCCTCACCCGAGGCCGGGCGGCAGCAGCCCCTCGTACCTGGACAATGCCGGCCTGGGCACAGCTCATGCTCCCCCGGCGAGGGCAGGTCTCACATCCCACACGTGCCTGTCAGCCGGCAGGGAGGCAGAGCGGGCGGGGTACCGGCGTGTCAGCCCCCGCCGAGCCGCACCATAGTCCAGCACCGGCTGATACGCTCCGCAGCACCGCCGCGCTCCCTCCTCCTCTTCCTCCGCCCCGCCAGCCTCCTCCCACCTCGCCGCCTGTCGCTGGGTACCGGCCGCCTGGAGCCACCCACACGCCGCGGCGGGCGCCCGGCAGCGCCTCCCGGCCCGGCCCGGCCCGGCCCGGCCCTCCGCGGTCGTCCCGCCCGCCCCGCGCTGTCCCAGGCCGCCCGCCTGCCGAGCCCACCCGCGGGCCGCCCGCTCGCTCCTCCTGCACCATCCTCCCCCGCACAGCATCGCCGCTCCCCTCGGCTGATCGCACGGGGACATCACCGCGCACAAGCCAGCTCACCGCACATCGGGCATGGAGGTGGAAAAAAATCAACGTGTTCTCCTCTTTGCCCCTTGAAGTCGGGGCTGCCGCCCTCACACCGACTGCTCACTAGTGCCAGAGCATCCCGGGTGGTCGTTAAAGCCTTTTCCCCGCTCACCTGAACAAGAGCTTGGGCGGCACTACTGCTCTAGCAGCTGTCTCCTCGCCTGGGGAGCATGCACGTCTCACCACCGTCACCTCTAGCCTCTCCTCCTGGACAGGGGTTTATGACTAACCCTTGCACAAAGTAAGTCACTGTACCACAGCTGTGGGAAGATCAAGTTCCAAAATGCAGTTCAGGATGGGGACAGAGGTGCTTTACACTCATTCCTCCCACAGGTCTTGCAAACCGGTTCACCGAAACCAGACCACGAGCTGCTGGGACTGCAGGGAACAACAGCTCCCAGCGGGAACTTGCTGAGTCTGCATCCACCGGCCAAAAGGGCTGAAGGACAGCTCTTCTTGTCAGCTGGCAGAGGGAAAAGACAGAACAATCCTGCAGAGGCCCACTTATCCCCTCACCTGATTTTGCTAGAGAAAAGGGTTTTTTTAAATAGCACTTTTTAAACACCATCCTGTTGGAGTGGAGTCACACCCACCTGCTACTAAACATATCAATTTTTCAAGACTCTCCTGGATCTTAATTTGTATCCCAAAGCAAAAACATGTTGGTAAAAGCCACAAACACGTCCAGTTACTTGACAAATGAAGCTAAATTTGTTTCTAAAACCTTTGCAATCTTCCCCTCTTACAAGTTTCTTTGGATCTAACACTTACTGTGCTTGGTACTGGTGCAAGAAATACTTATCTTAATTTGCTAATCAGTTCACTCCAAAATACTTTCATACACATTGTGGCATCTAATTTCCATTTGATCATCCAATTTTTTTTCATAAAGAGGTGAAACAGGAGAAATTAGAATCCTGTATAAGCAGAAACCTCAGAAGGAAAATCAAATTGGATTTGGGGAAAAGAAAGGCTTGGTATTTTATAACATTTGTGAAAGATGCAATGTACCAATAGTCAGAATTACCAACACACAATACCAGTAAGTGGGCTAATTCCCTGTGCATCAAGAGTAGGAAGAAAGGGGTGCCCATCATCAAAAAGCAGCTTCAGCTTTTCCCCAGGAGCAAGGCAGATCAAAAGGCATACCAGGTCATGAAGGCCACATGAGCAAATGGCCATCTCAGACACTCTTCTGCAGGTGTTTGAGAAATTCAAGTGATGTTTGGGCAAGCACACTGCCTCTTCTCATCCAGCAAAGCCATCCACTGATCATAGTTTGCAGTAGGCCATGATGACAAAATCCTCAGGAGGCCTCCAAACAGATATTTTCCTCCTTGTTTTAAGTCTGTATATCAACATTTACACTGGAACTGCCTATAGTAGGCATATGCTTTTGCCTTTGCACTTTGAAAGTCTAAATAGGAAAAAAAAAAAAGGAAGACATGAGGGAGAGAGTCAGAGGAATGAAAAGATGAAGTTTGCCCAAAGTTCACACAGTAATTTTTTGGGACAGAGTAGAGAACTGGTCCAAGCCTCCTCACTCTTGATTCTTTCCCCCTCAGAGCTTTTACCCAGCTCCTTCTGCTCTTAGGGTTACTGGTGTTATTCTACATCATGTATTGAAATGAGACGTGCTTCTCATTTCCAAGGGTGGATACATATATTGATTTTACCAAAAACTTTACGTTAAGCAAAACCCAAGAAAACCTGATAAATGCACACATTCTAAAAACAGTCTAAATCTAGCATCTCAAACTTTAAGCTTGGTTATGAATTTTAGAGACAGCTTAACATGATGGGTGTTCAACAAGGAGTCAGAACCACCATGAACACATTTCAGGGCCGTGAGATACGAAGCACAAGATTTTGTCATGTGCTGTGGACCTGGGAAGAGGAACCCCTTTAGGAGGACAGAGCATATGCTTTCCTCTTTAGAAGCTACCAGCTTGAATTTCCTTTAGGACTGAAAAGAGCAACCTGAATCTCCTGGAAGAGAAGGAAGTTAAAAATTGTCACCTGCTGGAATTTATGTAAAACCAGAGATCAAAATTAAGATCAAGAGGCAAAATACATACTCACTTCCAGTAGACATACATTCAAATACTGAGCAGAAGATGAATGTGGCAACTGGTTCAGAAAATGAACCAGGCTTTGAAGAGGACATTTTGCCCTGCTCTTCCTCAAAAGAATGAAATTATACATATTGGAAATAAAGTGCATTGTAACTCTGCATTTTACTGAAAAGGAGGAGAGTTGCATAATGCATAAGGAGCTTTAAAATTAGACTAAACTTTGGCAGTTCAGATTCTTATCTATATAATAAACAAACTTCTGTATTTCATATGCCTACCTTCTATACACTCCCCAGCCTCCCACAGACTAAGCAAAACAGCACATTTTGCTGTCTCATAGGCTTGCTGACAAGTCCTAGTGTCTTTTTAGACATAAGCTAAGCCCTATTCATGCCTCAGGACAGGTCTGCAGGCAGTACAAGATGAAGATGATTTGAGCAGCAAGTGACCAAGATGCATGTCTGTTTTGCAGAAAATTTTGCACAATTTTGACAGCCATAGAGTAGTCCTGCAAAAGCAGCAAATGGAAGCAAGAAAAATTTGACTTGGGGAGAGTGTGGAAAAAGCGAGATGAAGCAACCATGTCTTTCCCTACCAAATACCTCTGAGGTACATAGACACATACTCTTGAGTTGGCACAGGACAGATTCCATTGCATTTCCAAAATCTGTCATTCTGGTGGCTCATGCCTGATATATATCAGAGAAATGTCTACTTGGTATAGCATACTTTGTAGTTTTTTATAAGTGCTTTGATCTAATAAGTAGGAAAAATTGGGAAATTTTTGTTATTCTTAAAAAATGTCAGGCACACCTTGATCTGGAGACATGACAGCTATGTTGGTTGTTGTGTTACAGCCAATAAAAAGAACCAGAAAATCCCACTCATGTGCTTCTCTTCAGGACTCATGCTGATCTGGGTGATGATGGTAGGACTGAGTAAGGCTCTCACAAAATGTGTTCATACCTTGCATTTGTAGGGGGCCACGTACAAACAGACCCAGACTTTCCCTAGAGAGCTTTTCTGAAAGAAGAAATGGTCAGTCTCTGAATGATTGACCAGGGATACTCTTGCCTTAAAGCTATATGAAGTCCAAGAGTAACTTCAAGCTGCTTAAGCTTTATATTGCACCTTGAGTCAGTCAAACATGGGAGCACAGGCATTATTATCCTGCCACTGGTTCTGGGTGGCCTTTGAGTAAATAAAGACTGGGTGATTGATAAGTGGGAATCCATCACCTTGGCAGTGATTCCTTGGGTTCAGAATAGGGTAATTTAGAGTTCACATGTACATTTGGACATATCCTAAATTTTTATGCTGGATTCATCTCCGGGTGAGCTAGATGCCGTGTAGGTACATCTCTTTTCTGCAACTTAGTATTCACTGAATTTTACCAATAAACACAATTTTCAGCTGATAAAGAGACTGCCACTCAGATGATCTAGGGCATCATATCTCAATGCTAGGCTCATTTTGTTCAAGTGATATTCTCAGACTATCTTCTGTGGTTTCTGATTTTGGATCATTTGGTCTGTTGGGACTCAGAACTCTGTTACTGACACATAAAGACTGTCTTTAAAGAGGCACTTGGCTGCTGATGTCTAATGTTTTTTACTGTATTTTGGCTTACCTGGATGGGATTGCTGATATCTCCAGTTGGATGTCATGCTTATTGCATAGCAGTAGGTACTTGTCTGGTGTTGGTGCTCAGGCAACAGGGCCTGAGCACCTGATTTCAGGCCCTTATAGAGTGCTTTCTTTTAGCAGCTCTTAGGCAGGAGCTGGCTTTTTCTTAGTTGCTATAACCATCCTTCCTTTCTGGCAGCCCAGATCTGAACATCTGGGGAGGCCATGATGGACAATCTCCTAGAACAGAAGACCAAAGATTACAACTGTTGCAGGTGTAAAAGTGATTTCTGTCCTAGCAGGACTGTACCACCTATCAACATTTTTCCTCAGAGGAGCAGGCAGCATGCTATGCAACAGCCTTAACTCCATCCCTGTTTTATCCTGGGTGTACAGAGAAGTTTCTTTGCAGAGGGCCTGAATTACTGGAGTATTTAACCAACTTGATCAAAAGAATTCTAGCCCCTCAGCTGCAATCATTTGAATGGCCTGATTTTTGCAGTTTCAGCTAATTGTTTTACATGTAGATATACACTAGTCTGACGTTTGCCTCTGTTAAGTTCATTTTCCACTACCTGGATTCTCTTTCTGGAGCAAATGATAACCAGCTTCAAAACAGAAGAAGGTTAAATATTAGCATCCCTGACAGAAGAGAATCAGTGATTATGAAACATTATTCTACACGGGCAAACACACTGCATATTTTTCCTGCATAAAGCCTATGATAATGCTACTAAGAGACCAATTATTTTTACAACTAAGGCTCTACTTTATGAAAAAAATTCATAAAGCATTTTCAATGACAAAAAGATTGAGCCTACAAGTTGTTCTGCCACCA